AGGGACAATAAATGGGAAACTAATACGAGCAACTAAAAAACAACAAAAAAATAGGTCAATCGATGAATTTATGGAGAGTTTGAGATGTTGGTTTCTCAAGTAACAAGGTTACTTGAAGAGCAATATATGGGATACTTTATCGGAGGTTTAAAGGATGAAGTCAAAAGAAAAGTTAAGACCCATAGCCTTCTACAAGACAATGAATGATTACAGTGGCTCAAAATATGGAGAGGGAGTTGATAAACGAATGAATTCTAAAATTGTCTTTCAACTGGAGAGGAAAAAGCTATGGAAAAAAGGGTGAACCTCGATGGGGTGGCAATCGAACAACTTCACTCGTTACTAGTATACCATTAAAGCTTAGTGTACAAGGAAGTATGGGACATTTTCATAATAAACCATATGAGGGAAGGTGGAATCTCATGTCGGAAGGAGGGGAACAATGTCAAGAAGGCTTTAAAATAAGAGGAACACGTAACTTTTCTTACCAAGAACTTATGGATAGGAAAGCAAAAGGATTATATGCGTAAAGTGTGGACAAGCATTTCAGTCCACTCCACCATTGTCCAACTAAGAAATTGGACTAGTGGTTTGGGTAGAAGAAGAAGATATAGGTTCCGAGGAACAATTATTTGTAGCAGAAGAAATAAACAAACTAGAGGATTGAGAGTTTGTGTGCCAATCTTTGGATTTATGGGGATTGACTTATATGGGTAAGTCTTATTCAAATACATTGAAATTAAAAGAAAAACTTGCTAGCATGCCTATTTTTCTCCTAATTGATAGTGGGGTAAGTCACAATTTCATTTCTAGGAAAGCTAGGGAGTTGTCTATTATTGAAACCACAAAATTTAACGTATGGCTTGGTGATGGTTATAGGGTTTCCAATTCTGGATTATGTGCGGGAATTGTCTAAAAAATAAGTGAGACTACTTTGAAAGTGGATGCTTATGTGTTTGAAGTAGAAGGAATTGATGTTATCCTCGAGGTGCCTTGGTTGGGGACGCTTAGGAAAGTAAATTCAAATTAGAAGAAAGTGAGTATGAGCTTTGAATAAGAAGGTGATAGATACGAGTTTAGAGTAAGTCTTAGCCTCTTCTCGAGGGGTTTTTCGAGAATCGATTGGTTTGTAACCCAAGAGAATAACTTATGATGCCATTATACTAAAAGAAAGAGTTGGACTAGTAAATGTTTATCCTTATCGATATGCATACCACTAGAAAGATGAGACTCGAAAAACAAGCACAAGACATGTTGAAATATGACATTGTTAAGCACATCACTAATTTATTTTCAAGCCCGAGTGATCCTAGTTAAGAATAAGGATGAGACATGAAGACTATGTGTGGACTATCAAGCTTAAAACAAGGTCACCATACCTAATAAGTTTCCTATTCTAGTCATGATAAATTATTGGATGAATTAAATGGTGCTAATACTTTTCAAAGATTGACCTTGAATCTTGCTTTCACCAAATCCATATGAGTGAGGAAGATACCTTCGAGATTATCTTTTGAACCCATGAAGGTCATTACGAGTATTTGGTGATACCTTTTGGGCTTATGAAAGCCTTGACAACCTTTCAAGCTAATATGAATTCAATTTTCAAGCACTTATTTTGAAAGTATGTCCTTGTCTTTTTTAATGATATTTTGCTCTATATCCCTACTTGGGAGGATCATCTTTGTCGTTTGGGTGAAGTGTTACAAATGTTATCATAAACCAACTATGTGCTAATAAAAAGAAGTACTATTTTGGGTAGCATTCTATTAAATACATAGGCCATGTTATCTCTTTTGAAGGTGTAGCAATAGACCTTCCAAAGATTAAGAGTATGATAGAGTGGCCGGCCTCGAAAACTATTAAAGGGATCGGGGGTTTCCTTGACTTGATAGGATATTATAAGTTCATCAAGGACTACGGGAAAATAGCATAACCATTGACGGAACCGAACAAAAATGATGGTTTTCATTAGGATCGGACTACTCAAAGAGCTTTTGATTGATTAAAATTGAAGATGATTGCCTTTCTTATACTAGGATTACCGGATTTCACTCAAGAGTTTATAATAGAATGTGATGCGTCCAACAACAAAATTGGTGCAGTATTAATACAAAATCACGGACCCGTGGTTTATTTTATAAGTCTTTGTCCGAACTCTCTCTCTCTCTCTCTAAATCGATATATGAAAAGGAAATTATGGCTTTAGTGTTGTCCATCTAATATTGGCGGCCATACTTGATGGGGTGGCATTTCAAGGTCTTCACTAACCATAAAAATCTGAAACATTTATTACAACAACGAATATCCACCTCGGACCAATAATGTTGGTTGGCCAAGTTAATGGGGTTTGATTACGAGGTCATCTACAAACTCGAAAGAGACAATGAAGTAGTTGATGCTCTTTCTCGAATTGAAGATGATAGAGAGTTAAATTTAGCCTCTTCTAGCCTAGGTCCGGAGAAAAGAAAAAAAAAAGGGAAAGAGAGAAGAGCAAGGGTCGCTAGCCAGGTGGGTCCGGCCCAAAGGCCGTGGGCCCACTAACCCAAAAAAGCCCAATGCCTTAATTTCAATTTTTTTTAGATAAATTGTTCCTAAATCTCTTTTATTTATGCTTTTTTTTTCCTTAAGATTTAATGTTTTGAATTTTCCCGAAGTTGTTTATTTAATGTTTCATTTTAGGTTTTATTTTGACAATCGGATTAGATAATTAATCAATTGATGAATCCTCAAGTCTCTTAATTTTTAGGTACCGATAACGATTTTCCACTAACAAAAAAAGTATAAAAAATGATGAAAAAAAGAAAGAAAAAAATGTTCGAAAAAGATCAAAAAAAAAGGAAAAGAGAAAATGCTATGAAAATAATAAAAGCAAAAAGCAAAAACATAGAAAACATTAGGAAAATTAACAAAGTCATATATCTAATTGGGACTTATGTTAGCCCAAATCAATCACATTTAGTAATTAGGTTGTTCTATAATATACCAATTATGTCGAGACTTAAATTGGATCCGATGTTGAATTGACATGACGTCCAATGAAGAGATCCGGCAATTGGCCTTTTTAGGTTTCTAGTTCATTTAATACTATTTAGCAACTTCGAAATTAATAATAACTTATATCCTTCAAATAAACAACATTTTTAGCAAATAATAAATAAAAATTTCGTGTCGCAACACTTCTCATAGAGTAGTTCTTTTTTCAAAAGAAAAAAATATTTTTCAAATTATTCTCAATTGAGTAAAACAAAAAATACAAAGGCTCAATTAGTTGATTTGATAACAAAATTGTGGCTCAATTAGTTGATTTGATAAAAAAAAGTTTATTTATTTATTAACGAATTGATGAAAATAGATGGTGTAAATGATGGGTGTACCGAAGGTACTATTTGACACATAAGTGCATAACTTTCACTTAACTAAAAAAGTAAACTTAATTTTGGTGTTCCATATTAACCCAATAATTGATACCACCTAAATATAGTACCTTTTTAGGTATTCATAAAAATATAAAATAGTACACATTTATACCCAAAAAAAAAAAACAATCAGAAAAGATTCCCAACAAGGTTTTAGCCATAAAGTAAAAATATTGCACATATAGTATATTCCATATTATTATCGTCACAAAGAGCAAACCATTATATATTATGAGTTGCCATCCAATGGCATCTAAAGCAAGAGAACCAAGACCAGGGGCGGACGCACATATATGCCTACAGGGGCCGAGCCCCCCACACTCCAAACTTCTTTTTCTTTTCCCTAGAGTAAGTTACGGGCCCCTCTCCAACTTTATTATTATTTTTTTCATATACTAGAGTAACAATCCTAAGTAACATTTGCCGTCACTCCATTTTTAGTGTTTTTTAACTTTTGTCCTCGGTTTTTCAACAGGACACAACTAAATCTTTAATATTTATTTAATTTGATCCTAGTTATCTTTCACTATTATTAAATTTATTCTTTCTTCTCTTTCTCTTAACTCTTATTCTATTTAAAACATCAAAAAGAAAACTTTTTCTCCGATCTGGATTTTTCTTATTCGACAACACAAGTAGAAATTTTCTTAAAAAATCAGTAATTTATTAAGTTTATTTTATTAATTTATTAAGTTTTTCATTTTATATATTGATTGAATCTTGACAACTAACTAATTTTTTTAAAATAATATTTTATAATTAAAATATTATATCGGTTATATTCCTAATTTTATTTTATATGATTAAGGTATTTATTAAAATATTGAATCCATGGCTTGGTAAAATTCTGATAATTTATTGACTTGAATTAAAATTGTACTATTGATCTTGAAATTTTGTGTCATTGACTCGTTGTTGTGCTTGTAGCTGTAGACCCAAAGACAAAAAAAGAAAAAGAGTTGTAACAATAGAAATGTAAGATTACAATTTACAAATAATCATTCTTCTTTCATTAATGGTTATTAAAAAATATCTTTAATTATTTTAGTCACAACCTTATTTAAATTAATATACTAGATTCTCAATTATTTGTTTGTTTATAATAACGATTTTTTTTTGTTTATATTTTATAGGTTCTATATTACTAAAGTGAGTATTTTGAAATCTATTCAACTTATTAGTGAAACGGCTAGTGCTATTATAATCTTTAATATTTTTAAGTACGTATACCAGTGAGCCTAAAGGGTGGCTCCTAATAGACTTGGATGGTGGTTTATTTATGTATTTTGCTTGAAAATTTGAATATATTATTTGTATTTTTAGTGAATTTGTAATTTGTTGCATATCGTATTTAAGAAATTATTGCATATTCATATTTGTAATTTATTTTGAATGCTTGTATTGTGAGATTATTTTAAAATATATATTGTAATATTATTTATAATATATATAAGTTTATATAAAGCATGACAAATCTATAAATATTTATTTTGGTCTTTGTAGATACTTGATCCTGCGTCCTCCACTGACCAGGACCAGATAAAATGATACAAAATTATTTGTCGAAATTCATTTATAGCACTACTGGGGAAGCTTATTGAGTTTACAGTACATGTAATCCTTAAATTTTTTGGTCTTGAACTTTGGAGGATTGTCTTTGCTAATAAGTTGAGGAAGAGGACCAACCACAAACTCCCCTGGTGGCTCCAAGAAAACTGGCCATGACATCCTTGCCTTATCTTTAGACACTGTGGTTCGATGCAAAACAGCCTTGTACTTGCCATTGCTAAGGATCTGCATGCCAATTGCCATGTGTATAGTTCACAAATTTTAATAACCACAAGCACTTAAAGCGCAGTAAGTCAAAAGAAATTACATAGCCGAATAACAATGCAATTACTATTTTGTCTAAATGTTTTTGTGAAAAATTTAATTCATCACAAATTTGAAACTAGTCATTCTAATTATGTTGTTTCTAAGATATATATATATATATATATATATATATATATATATATATATATATATATATATATATATATATATATGCATTAACCAAAAAGAAATTGAATATTCAAACTTTTTGAAGTTAATATAAAGAGTAGATAGTTTCTATACCAGACCTCGCGTTAGGTTTTATACCTTTGAGATTAAATCGGATGAATAATTTAATATGTCTATATAATTTGAGTCCAATCTGCTTCTATGTATTCAATTACGTTGATTATATTTCTAAATATTTGTTTAAGTCTTCAATTTTTTCTTCCAATAAATTTCTAACCATGGATAAAATTTTTTTTACCTAAATATCTATGGCTGAAAAAAAAAACCACTTAAAGCACATGTATATTCTTTTTTTGAAAATTTTAAGATTTTTTGATATTTCAATCAGGGCATTTCGATACAAAATTTGCTCATTATTAGAAAAATTGATTAAAAAACAAATTGAAGAAATGGATGAATATTATTCATGAATATAATAAATATAATTAGAAACGTAGAAATAGATTAAAAACTTAACCTATTATATAAAGGGTAAAGTGAACTGTTTACTTAGATTAAATATATTTTTTACACAATTAAAAGTAAATAATTCATTCCAAAATTAGAAAATTCTTGAATATTTTATATTTCACCATTGAAAGATGGTGGCTATAAACAAAAGAATTCCCCTCGTTTATATCACACATATTAGGCTGCAGCTTAATAACCTTTAGAGAGGAAAGTATAGATAGCATTAATTTATGCTTAAAAAATAACTAAATATCAGTAATAAATTATTTATTCCCGAAATTATATAGCCATGTTAGGTATGCTACGAGTGTTGTGCCCACCCCCTTCTTTCGTCATAAATGAAGTACTATTCATAACTCCTCCTAAACTAAAAGTCAAGTGGTACGTTGTGAGTAATAACTTGCCATTAAGGCATAGGTTTCTTGTGAGGAATACATGGCCAAACTAAGTTATTTTCGACACTTTTAATTTGTTAATTATTTCTTTGTAAGGTATGCATGGTCCTCTTTTTCTGAAAAAAAATTCAGTGTAAATATTTTCTTTATTGAATTTTATCTGGTTTTGCAGTTCGAATCGGAAAGAATGAAGAAATTAAGACAGGAATAGTTCCATAAAACTAAACAAGTAAAAAATGGAAAATGTAATCAAAGAATTAAAATAGAAAATTGAGTGAAAAATCAGAAAAGAAAGGACCAAGAAAATGACCTCAATTTGATCCCCAATGTGGATGATCAAGGCATTAGGAATATACTTAGCTTCAATCCAATGATCATCCTTGAAGACTTGCAATCCAGGGACCTCATTAGGCACAAGAATGGTGATGGCAGATAGATCAGTATGGGCCACTACCCCAAGTGTTAGGTCAGGACGGGGGCATGGTGGATAGTAATTGATTTTGAGCATGTATTCAATTTCTTCCCCACCAGCAGCTTCTTTTAAAACCTGGCCTTCAAGCCCTAACCCTACAGACAGGGTGGTAAATAGCTTATCTACCACCTCCCTCATATATATTCCATACTCCTCGTTAACTTCCCTGCACGTAGAAAAATATTATCATAAGTTCATAGTATTTTGAAAATTTTCAAATTTTAGGAGAGTCAAAACCACCGTCTAGATCTGTCTCTAATGGCTAAGAAATTAAAAAAAAAAAAAAATCTATGGCTAAATAACTATGGATGATTTTGGGACTAAATTTAATGGTCGATAAAAAGCTTTACCTATCTTGATATGTACAAACAGTTCTAAATAGTTAAGAATTAGTTTATTGTAAAAAAAATAATAACCCAAAACTAGCTCTAAATGACCCTTCAAAATGAAAACAAAATATATTAATTTCTTAATAATTCGAGGTTCTTACAAAAAGTTTTGGCATGCTTTCATGTGAAAAACTATTATCCTAAGAACTTGGATTTAGACACAAATTGACGCTTCTCTTCTGTTTCACATTCTTAACCCAATTGAACTGTTGTCCTGTTGATTCAGATTACATGGTAACAAGGAAAATTTAAACAAACATAAATAAAGAAGGAAACCTTAACAGAATTTCAATGGTAGCAAACAGACCTGTAAGAAGGAGGGTTTTTGGGCCAGAACTTGTAATTGATGGAAGAAGGAGGCCAAATCCTATGAAAGAGGTGATCAACCCAAGATTTTTTTTCATGGGGATCTTTTTGCAATTTAGAACCATATCCTTCAACACTTTTTGAATCATGAGGCTTAGCATACACCTCTTTCTCTTCTTGAGGTAGTTCAAAGAATGTCTTACCGACGTCTTGTAGTTTTGTAATAAGATCACTTGGAACTCCATGGTTTATAATTTGGAATATCCCCCATTCCTTGCTAGCATCCACAATCAAACGCACCAAGTTTTGTTCATCAGGATCATTGAGATCAATGGTTGGAATTTGAGGCACTGGACCATGAGATGTGGTTATTGCTGGCTGCTCTTTCTCTGGCCTAATGAACTCTTCAGGAATTGTTTCTTTGTCAGTTGACAAAGAAGCAATGGTTTGAACTCTATGAAACTCCATATTGTTCTCTTCTTGTTTCTTAATTTTTCTGAAGGGAAAAAAAACCGCCCTCAATATATGGAGAAACCAAACCATGAGCATATTAATATAGTGCATTGCTATTTATTATAGCGGGGTTTTAGGGTAGTAAAATTCGTATGTTTATTAACTTTAAATAATTAGATTCAAATTGAATGATCACAACTTAGGGCATGATAAATATAAAAAAACTCTTCAGGATTTTTTTTTTTTTTTTTTTTTTTTTTTATGTTTCCGAAAAAACATGACTTCTATGTTTATTAACTTTAAATAATTAGATTCAAACAAGGGCATTGACTAACTGGTGGAAGTCTCTTAGTTATTTTTCTGTACATTGGAAAGTACGTAGTAACTGCATCACTGACACATTCTGAATAAATTGGGATCAAATTCTACTCTCATTAGAGAAACATCAAGGAAAGGGCTGTGCGTTTATGAGCAAAGATTTTTTTGATTTTGATGAAAAGAGTCAGTTCTCAAGAAAATGCTCGGTGCCTAATTTACGTATCAGTTCTAAAAAGTCCATCCTAAACAATTGAAACATTTATTGAAGTACCTAGACATATATAAAAATACAAAATGTTATAACTTTACAAGACGTCTTTGGATGTATCTAAAAAAAATATTATCCATAAAATCAAAATAAATCCCACATTCAAATTAAAATTATTAAATAAAATTAAATATTCTAAAGCATCGTACTAAACCCTGCAAGGTCGAGGAAAATAAATGAGCTCGGTAGTAAAATTTATGAGAGAAAGAGTACGTTTGACTAATTAAATATTTCAACCAAAATAGTTGATTTTCGTTCATAATTTCTAGGGCCAGGAGGGACCTCACGACAGCTTGCATTGTTATTTTTATTACTATTATTGGTCCCAACGTACTCCTCAATCAGATCAACAATCGAAAGTATGCAGATTTCTATTAAAGAGTACCAAAAATGCAACCAATTTTTGCAGTTACCGGTGTTGAGTCGACAAAAACAATACATGCACGGCGTACGACGAATCTTCACAGTTAATATTCGTATCGGACCTCATAAATCACGAAAAAATTTATAATATTTCAGAAATAACTAATCATTTATTTAATAATTATTTAATATATTAAAAATAAAAATAATCACAATAATATTTCAGAAGTAACTAAAAATTTATGAGAGAAAGAGTATGTTTGACTAATTAAATATTTCAACCAAAATAGTTGATTTTCGTTCATAATTTCTAGGGCCAGGAGGGACCTCACGACAGCTTGCATTTTATTTTTATTATTGTTATTGGTCCCAACGTACTCCTTAATCAGTGCAACCAATTTTTGCAGTTACCGGTGTTGAGTCGACAAAAACAATAAATGCACGGCGTACGACGAATCTTCACCGTTAATATTCGTATGGGACCTCACAAATAACGACAAAATTTTATAATATTTAAAAAATAACTAATTGCATATTTAATAATTATTTAATATATTCAGAGAAATAGAATTGTTTTTTTAAAAAAAGTAAATCAATAAAATATTTTTTATCATTTTTAATGAGATTGGATATAATTTTTTAAATTTTTTAAATTTATCTTTTTTTAAAAGAAATTTATAAAATAATTATTATTCATATTGCTTGAATATTACAAAATTTCTCCACAAATCACAATAACTTTGTTTTTTTCATTGGTCCCACTGTGCCCCTGTTATGTTCCGATCAGCATGTGCAGATTTCTTTTGTAAAAGTACGAAAAAAGTAACAGATTTTTGTAGCAAGGGAGGTAGCATCAACATAGACGAAGAATCTTCTGGCTTGTTATAGAAGAAAATGAAGGAAGAAAAATACATCAACATTAATAAATAAGAAAGCGCGGGGAATCATATTTCTTTCGTACGTATGTTGTTGGGCTTTCCATGCCTAGCTCTTTGCAGGTTTGGATTGCCCATGTTTCTTTTTCAAGTTTTGCGATTCCAGGGTTTTCCTTAGGGTTTTGAGCTTTTTGGAGTTTGGGGCGTTTAAGGGTTTTTGAAGGTTCAGAGAAGAGTGGGAAGTTTTTGTCTACTACATGTGTTTTTTCTTACTGCTACTCCATCTTGTCTTTCATAGAGGTGTTTCTTACAGCAAAACGTCTACTAGTACTATGTATAGCTTCTTTTTTTCTTTTTTCTATTCAACTTAAACAATTAGTCCCTAGAAAAGAGAAGAAAGGGTGATGCAGAATACATTCACAATAACAATGAGTCTGAATAAACAGTAACACAAATAATAAAAAAGCTTATTTTTTTAGTTTGATTGTTAATTAAATGTTCGTCATTTAAAGCATGATAAATATAAAAATAACTCAAGTTCTTAATATTTTATTTCTCGTCTAATTTGAATAATTTGAATAGATGAATTCAAAATCAATAATAAAAACATTAAAAAAATCCGATTATGTAAAATTCTTGTGATTCACCAATAGAGTTACGTTAAATCCTATGGTTTTAAAAAGGACAACGTGGATTCTTTGCATTTTGAGTATGGGAGAAAATTAGTCCTTTTTTTTTCAATTCTCTTACAATTTAAACTAAAGTCATAGTTATTAAGTCAAGAAAGATACGTGAAGCATGTTGATTGGTTGAAATTTTAATCAAATTTAATACTTTTAAATTTAACCAAGATTAAATGGATGAAAGAACTAACTTATTTACTAACCGAAACCACTTACGAAAAACGTTAATCTTAAGATGGAAGAGAGAAAAACCTAAACACAACCGTAACTTTTTAAGCAATATAACCACGAATCTGGTAGGTTGGTGTTTGTTTTTTATTGCATGTTACCAACCACACAAATGACATGATTCCATCAATTAATAATATCTGTCCATTTTTTATTTTGAGTAGCATTAAAAAAAAACACTTTTAAATGTTAAAAAATATGATACTTAGCCATGGATACATTCAAGAGGACAGAATTTGACGCAAGATAAATTTTATAAATCTTCATTTTTTTTGGAAATATTATTTAACAAAATGGATGAGAGGTGACATCGGTACCTTTAAATTAATGTTAACCACACTTCTGTGTTTCATATCAACATACATGCTTACTAAATTATAAATTAATCACTTTAGTTTTGATAAACAAATTAATAAGTCATTTTTTTTCAAAATTAATTATTTAGTTTATTTACTAATATTTTATTATATTTAATTTAATATTATTTTATTTTAAAAAGTCTTATTTTCTCATTAATCTTTTTCATAATATCCATTTATTTATTTTTATTTAAAAAATTTTAAAAACAAAAAACAAAAAAAAACTCCAAAATAACTAGCTTTTTAAAATAAAAAAGATTAATTGATTATTTTTTAAAATGAAAAGGGCAAATTTATAATTTACTCCAAACATGTCCAATAAGAAAGTCGTCATAATTTTTTTTTTGCCCCCTCTTCTTAAAATGTCTATATTGCCCATAGGTCCTCTCCCCACCTTTTTAACATAGTGAGAACTAATTTTTTTACCTACGCTATGCTGTGAGTTGGATAAAATATATAAAATTATTTAAAAAAATTGTTCAATTTGATAGTCCGTGTTACGGTGTGAATCAATAAAAATATATAAAATTAAAGATAAAAAAAATTTATAATTTTTTAATCAAAATTTTATATTTAACTATTTCTTATTTGTGTTTTTCATAATTTTTCCGTTAGAAAAAGGAGTTATTCTTGTTAATCCATGGATTATTAACTAAACAAAAATTAAATAATTTTGTTTAAAAAAAGCTTTAGTATTTCATAAGATTTTATCGAAAAACTAAAATAACAATTAATAAAAATTTACATAGAATTGAACAAATAAATAAATAAAATATTCAAAAACAAATAAATAAATAGTACATACTTAGTGTAGTAGTAGTTGCATAGTTAATTTCTAAAAAAACAATGATTCAATATTTTTTTTATATATCACAACTATATTAAGTGGGTTTAGAGTTTTCAGTATAAAATAAAAAATACTATAAAAAACGTTAACTTGCAAGGAATATATTAACTAAATTTGAAGTTAATAGACTAAAATAAAAATTATTACAAAATTGATTTCGATAAATTTTAATTATAGAAAGAAGAAACAAATCAAACATGTGAATTCTTTTTTTTTTCCCCTCCTTCTTAAATAATTTTTTATTTTTATGCTATACATGACTAGTCCTTGAATACGAGCCTTAGGCGTAGAGTAACCATCTCCTTTTTGTTTTACACATTTGACTTTCAATTACTAATGAACTAATTTGAGTTTTTTTAAAAAAAAATTCAAGAAAAAATTATTTGAAATACACTTTTAATCTAAAAATATATTTCAAACAAATTATATAAATTAATCATGCCATTATAATTTAAAAATTATATAAATCTATTTTTCAAAAGAAAAAATGATCATGTTCTAAAAATTTATTCCAAAATCGATACATATAAAAAAATAAATACCGTTAGTAAATATAATTTTAAGTTAATTGAATGAGAATTTTTTTTTAATGACCAATTAAAATAGTAAAATTTAAATAATTAAAATAATTAAAAAATAAAATAAAATGATATCAAATCACAATACAATTGAAGTTTGAAATCGAAAAAAAAAATGTATACAAAAAATTAAAGACCAAAGTATTAAAACAATGTCATAAATAGTGAAAGGAATAACGATTTGTGAGTATATAAATAGTAATTTATAAGTTTGTAAATAGTATTATGAATGATAAAAACCCATTTTGTTTTAGTATTTTTTATAATTTAATTTTAGAAGCTTTAACAGGGACAACAATTGAAACGAAAAAAGAAGACCATCCTGGTTGCAAATGTTTTAAGGATATGTTCATCAATTTGAGGACAAAAACGGCAAACCAAGAAAATGTTCCCCAATTATATGAGTAAATTATAAATTGATCTCTCTAGTTTTGAAAACGAATTAATTAATTTTTTTATTTTCAAAATTGATTATTTAATTATTTAACTAATATTG